GGAAACCTTGTTCCCCCATAAACTGCTGTCAAATGCACGTTTCCATGTAATTCATATTTTTTCCCCCACGGGTTCTTCATTGTCAGGGCAATTTCCCCAAACCCTGAACCAAACAATATCCCTTTAAAGCCACACCAATTGACTACTGAGCGCCAAGCCCCTCCTCTATGGGCAGCAGAGATGGCAGTGTGGTCCTTCAATTCAAAAGGTTTAAAACCCTAAGCCCTAAAACCCTAAACCCTAAGGGTTTAGGGTTTAAACCCTCTACCCTAAACCGTGTTTAGGCTTTGGGGTTTAGGATCTACAGGCTCAGGGGTGCTGAAGCCGGAGGGAGGGAATGGAATTTATTGAGGGTTTGAACATAGAAGGGGTTTAGGGGGTAGGGTTTAGGGTTTAGGGGTTTAGGGGTTTAGGGTTTAGGGGTTTAGGGTGTGGGGCCCCAGTTCCGACTTTAGAGGTAAGGATTTAGGTTTTAGGGCATGCTGCTGCATGGCCTTGGGAGATGCTGTTTCAAGCTTTTGGCTCCTTCTGGGGTCCCTAAACCAGCAGCCCTCAAACCTGGTTGGTTAAGGGTTCCGGGTTTACAGGGGCTGCTACAGGGTCCCAAAAAATTGCGTCAGGCCTTTCATATGTGGAGTCCTTATTCGAGATGGATTACCTGACTGCAGCCCCTTATGATGATCCCCCTGCAGCAAACCCTAAAAGGTTTGGGGTTAACCCTGAACCCTAAACCCTAACCCTACCCCATAGTACTTAAATCCCACTTTACATCCGCCTACCGCCCCAGGGAAGGAGTTTGCCCGTGGCAATTGCTCGGGCTGAACCTTCCTGTTCAGGGCCCCGAAATACACCCGAAGGGTCCAAGGGCTTAGGGGGATTTAGGGTTTTATAAATTGGGTCCGCATGGTTTGCTATAGCTTTATAGATGCTTTGGTCCGACTTTCACGCATACTACACTACTAGGTGTGCACTTGGACCCATGCTGGAAATCCCCACAGGGCCCTCCCTTAGCACAGACCCTTGAGGTACCCGGGATTTCTCCCGAATGCGTAGCAGAAGGGTTCCCGTTTTAAAGTTGGGGTCCAGGGGTCCAGGAGGCGACGCGAGGTCGTTGCGTTTGTGTCCGCAAAGCGTCCGCAAGCGT